AAAAAAATCTAAATATTGAGAAAATCATCTTTAAAGTTGTCCAAATGAAATTCTTAGCAACGCATATTACTAATTAAAAATTAAGTTTTAATATGTTTACGGTAGGAAATTTACAAAATATCTTCACGGAACATGATCATACTTAATATCCTAATGATTTTTGGCATAAAAGAATATAATAAAAGATAATTTTGATCCATACAATGTATTGTTGGCTATTGCTACAAATATACCCCAGCGACTTAAGACTGCTTTTGTGCTGCAGGGTCACAAATGTGTTTCCATTGTAGTTTATGCACATTTTTTCTTATCAGATTAAAAGTTTATCCTGCTCAGTTGTGCGCATAAGTATTTTTATGCGCTTTTTTAGAATTTATGGTGTTTCCATCCAGAATGCGATATTCCAAAATGCGCATAAAAACAGGTGGAAGGAAACATGGCTGATGTTAAGAGGTGAAGATAAGAGCTTTCTTGTCCATTTTCCTCTGGAGTGTCCCTCAGACCGCTCTTGTTGTAGTTGTGTGTTTGGTCCAGCAGAGGGGGCTGTCGGCAGTCTTTTCTGATTGTTTGTTTCTGTGTGCAGGGTTTCCTGATCGGCGCCCGTCCCGAGAACGCCTGCATCCCGATCGACCCCCCTCCCCTGCGGGACAACCTCAGCAGCGCCTTCATCGTGCTGATCAAGCGCTTCGAATGTAACTTTGACGTCAAGGTAGGTTTAGACCTCCCTCGTTCGCCTGAAACACCACAGAGCTCCCCTCAAGAGTCTCACTGGGAACATGGGAAACGTTTGTTTATACACGCAGCGTAACGCCTCCACGATACCTGACCCTGTGCCAACACATGGAATCATCAGGCAACTCACTGCATGTGTTTCTGCAGCAGGGAAGATCTCTATCACAGTGAAACTAGCAGTTTAAGAAAGCCTGCTGTATGCTGGCGGCGGAAACAACTGTGTTTCCATAGTATTATGTGTGTACCATTGTAGTATTTATGAATATTTAAAATTAGGTTTTTATTTTTTTTCCATTTTTATTTTTATTTTTTTTTTTTATATTTTTATTTAGCTTTTAAATATATTTAAATTATTTACTTTTTTCAGGCAACACTTTCTTTTAGGTCAGAGTTGTTCATCTAATATTTATATTTTATTTCAGCTTTATTTCAAATAATACAATTTTAAATAGTTTTCATTTTAGTCAGGGTTATTGAAGTCAACTAAACTATAGTTGTAGTTCACTATAGTTGTTATAGTTCACTAAAACTAAACATTTTGTATAAAAATGTTGTTAGTTAGAATAAATGTTAACTAAAAATAAAATGACAAAATATTTTAATTCAAGTAAAAAAAGCTATTTTATTAAACTTACTTAAGCTTATTTAAAACTCCTTTTATATAGACATTTAAAAAAAACATACAAAACATAACAAAATGAAAACATTACTGAAAACAGAAAATATAAAAATAAAATATAATTCTAAAATCTATATCCATTATACTAAAAGTGCGAGTGTGTGTGCGAGTGTGTGCGAGAGTGTGTGAGAGTGTGTGTGTGTGTGTGTGTGTGTGTGTGTGTGTGTGTGTGAGAGTG